GACCAGAGACCTAGAAAGCGTGGTCTATGAAGAAAGGTTGAAAACTCTGGGTGGTCAGTCAGAGGCAGAAAGGCACAGGAGCCTTCAAATATGTAAAAGGCTGCTGCAAAAAGGCAAGGAATAAGCTGTTCTCCATTTCCAGTGGTAATAAGACAGAAGTATTGAGCTTAAATGACAGGTACGCAGATTTAGAACAGGCATTAGAAAAAAAAAATGCTAACTGTAAATCCTGAAATATATTGCCCGGAAGTGCTGAAGATTCTCCATCATTAGAGATTTTTACAAACAGGGCAGACAAAAATTTGTCAGAGATAATTTGGATATAGTTGATCTTATTTCAGAATAGGGGAATGGATCAGATGGCCTCATAAGATTCCTATTGGCTGAATTTTCTGGTAGTTAACTGTTTTGATTAACTGTTGAGTGAAAGAAAGCCTCATGGAAGGATTTTTTTCACAGATCTTAATCCAATTTCATTCTTGAAAAACAAAGCAGAGGACCTAATACTAGGTGAAAGACATACTTGGCTTTTACCACTAAGCTTGGTATTTCTATCACTTTAAATGTAGAGGGGGAAAAAAATCATAAAACATTGCTGTTTGTTGTGTGTCTATTGTGAATTTACTTTACTACAGCACTTTTGACATGGTCTTGGAGAAGTCCATAGACTATACAGATCCTGTCCATACAGGCACCCTAAAGTGTATTCATTGACTGTTATGTTTCAGTGGTTTGAGCTCAGATGCTTTAGCGTAGTTCTTTTGGATATAAAGATTTACTGCCGATACATGGGACAGTTAGTTAAATTTTTGTGGTCTATTCAGTAATAGATTCTGAGAACCCCATGGGTTTTAAAGTAGTGTTTCAGTACTCAAATGCTTCCATCCAAATAGCACTATGAGATGTTACAAAGTCCTGTGGATTCAGATAGGATTTGTAAATTGCCTTGAAAGCCTGGTGGAGGATCTGGTACAAAGATGACCACTCAAAAGGTGTGCATTGTTGTTACCATGGTGTGAGTGTCTTATGTTTGCAGATATCACTAGCAGACTTACTGAAGTGATGTTGATATTTCAGTGACTGTACTGTAATGTTAAAAGATGCTCTTACGTGTGAAAAATCTGTTCCAATAACTATTAGTCTTTTTTAAGATTAAGTTATTCAGCATAGGTACTGGTTGCTACAGTGTATTTGTACTGTGCAACAGAATCATAAACCCCCATATTAACAGACATCCAGAGAACATCTAGTCCAGCTCCCAGTTGAAGCTGGCCTATCGCCAAAACGAGATCAGCTCAACCACTGCTCTGTTTAGCCAAGTCTTGAAAACCTTGATGGATTGAGATTCCACAGTCTCTGTGTTCCAGGGCTGCTCCACCTTCCTAGTGAAAAAGTATTTCCTTTCATCCACTATGAATCTCCAAAGCTGCAACTCTGGGCCATTTCCTCTTGTTTTACCATGCAGCACTACTGAGAAAAGTTTGATTCCATCACCTTTTAACTCCTCTTCAAGTAGTTGCAGGTTGTTATTGAATTGTCTCTTAGCTTCCTTTTCATGAGAATAAGCATATCCAGTTCCCTCAACCTCTCCTTGTGCAGCAGTGCCATAGGCATAGGAAAATTCCTGCCATAGGAAAATTTGAAGGCCATCTGCATGACCTTCTTGCTTCTGAATATCCTCTTAAACTGAGGGGCCTCAAAACTGTGCATTGTGTTCCAGATATATATGGTTTCAGTCAACAAATACCGTTTCAATTTTGCTTATTGTTGCAATATGAGTAATAATTAAAAGCATTACTCTAAAATCAACACTGAGTTTCTGAACAAAGCAGGTCTATTATATGCAAACCAAAGGGGCAAAAAAAACCCAAAGAAAACAACTGCAAAGAAGTGAAAGAGCCATCTGAAAGTGTTTCATAAAAAAGGTTCTTTATTTGGCTTGCCTGAAATCTTTAAAGATATTACGTATGGCCACACAGGTGACTTTTGTGCAGATTGACTTAATTTAACTTCAGCAGGCCACTAGAATAAAAAATTGGCAAGAGAGCTAATTTTGAACTCAAAGATGTAGATTGATGTCTTAAAGTAATTAGCAGCTATAGCCTTGTTGTTAGAGTGTGTAAGAAACTCTGAAAAGCAAAATATTCTTATGATGAAATTATACACCATGAGTTGATGCGGCTCTGTCCACTGAAAGATCCCTCTTCCCTTTTCTTTAGAGTGTGTCCACTGAAGAAATTGTGTACTACAGCTCTAAGAGGGACTGAGTAGAACCTGGTGCCTGCTGTGTTTCTAGAGCACAGGATGGGTCTGGCCAAAATGAGTCCTTATTGCTTCACCTTTCTCCTTTTCTCTGAGTGCTTTACAGTCCCTGGTGTAATGTATACTCCTGGCATAGCAGCCCATCCCTGGAGTCTCAGACCCAGATGCTCACACCAGCCCAAGTTCTTACTCCTCCTCTAACATTTTTAGCTCATGTCCTCTTATTCTCTGGCAATTCCCAGTATGCTCTGCTCTCTACACAAATGCTGACTATTGTCTCCAGCTTTCTTTGGCTAGAAATGAGGCTTTTAAGTCCCCTTTGTTCTGGCTATTTCTAATTAAAATAGATGAAAGGAGACAAGTGGTAGTCCTTGCTAACTGAAAGAAAACCTTGTATAAACATCATTAAGGGGTGAATGCTCTATAAATGTTTATAGAAGGCATTCTAAAGTCATAAATTAGGGCATAGTGGTTTTGAGTGTATTGTATCAAGCTGTGACCACCAAGAAAAAGGCATAGCCATAATTTTGCTTTTACTAAGTATAATCCCTTGTATTAATAATTGCAAAATTTCATACAGGCTTCAGTGTTTTGTAGGTTGTTGACCTGGTTTAGAAGTACCTGTCTGCTTAATGATGATTATAGCATCAGAAGCTGTAATTCAGAACTGCAGGTTTCAGCAAAATAATCTGGTATTTGGGATAATTATAGAGTTGGATCCATCAGATGGCATGATATTTGCACTTTTTTGCATATTTTTTAGTTACATATTGTATGTATCAGACACTGTTTTCAGCCACATAAAATATCACTGTATGCAGTTATGAAGTGGTGAACATAATTGTTCACACACGATCATAAGGCAGAATGTCATCTTAAGGAAAAAAAATTTATCTATGTTTGGTCAGAAAAAGAGTGGGAATAAGCTAAGGGTGGAAATGAAGAGAGGAGAGTTTTATATGTTTTCTCTAAGTATGCACTGAGGAAGAAAGCTCTTTTTGCTGCAAACAGCTTTCTCTAAATGAGAAAAACCCACAAACTATAAAAATGCTTGTTATTATTTGCCTGCACATTTTGGGTAGTAGACCATGGAATGATATTTACTTAATATGCCCAGAGAAGGTTCTGAAAAATAGGTCATGTAACAGGCAGGATCCAGGGCTGTGACCTCAGAATCTAGTTAATTCTGCCAGCCCTGTTGAAAATATTTCCATATGGTTGCACTGACAACTTTACCGTAAAACATTATTCTTTTACTGTTGTTAATTTATATAATCAAGTGTGTAAAGGATGCTGCACTTCTGTAAATATTTTAAAAGAAATATAGTTAATACTGAAAATTGGACTTGAAGACAAACTAGTAACCTGACTGGCATTACTAGGTACTGCCATGAGAGATCGGCTTCAGAGGCAAGTCTTAGGGACACATCACAGTTTTTCTAAACTTTTCTCATTCTCTCTTCCATGAACTAGGATTTAGAATTGGGCCTTTGACCAGTGTTCAGGAGAGCAGTCCTTGAAAGTCTTTCTCATTGACAGGGATTGATGGCTAATCATGGATGGTTCTGTGCTGGAAAGCTGTAATGCCATTTTAAAAATACACTCTTGTTTCGTTTAGCAATTGAGATTTGCTAAAACAGCAATTTCTTCAGTGGTTTGAGTCTATCAGGCAATAACTAAACTGAGGAAGTGGCTATATGAAACTGTCTCCTGGTGGACCATTCTAACTTACTTTCATATTCCTGTTAATTTGCTTCAGAAGGACAGGTTTGACATTGTCACCCGTGATTTGATCTGTTTCATAAAGCAGACAGCTTGGACTTAGAGATACTGTCAGGTATTAATAACAAGACCCAGACTGCTCTTTACTCTTAAATTTTAGTGGATTTCCAAAGATAGGAATGTAAGAAAATATTTTTTCTTTTACCTCTTCTACATATGAAGATTTTTTTCTTTTTTTTTTATTTTTTTTTTAATTTTTGGAGGAAAGAAGCTGTAGGAACAGTATGTCAATGTATGCACTACAGTAAATGCCACCAGAAGGCTCTTGGTGTTTCCATTTCCAATTCTGGTTCTTGTCAGAGAATACAGCATGAGTGACAGTGAAACGTTAGCTGGCCTGGCTTCTTGGGGTGATTTCATTCCCCTAACTATGATTCTGCCACACATGGCTTTGACATAACTTTCAGCTGTATAACTTTGGAGTGAGAAGGAGATGTTAGGGTCTATTCACCTTTGTAACTGTGACAGAGAAACCTTCTGAAAGGTCTATAAATGTCTTTCATTTGTTTCAGAGGACCATCCAAAACAGAAATTGTAATAGAGAATGAGGAAATGCAGCATCAAAAGTGGCTGAATCTGCACTCAGACTGGAAGAATAAAAATGCATCCACTTTACACGCACTTCTAGTGAATGGGTAAGTAACAGGTAAATAACATTTATTTCACTGCTGTGGGTGGTCACTTACAAATGGAGGACAACAAACTCCCTTTGGTAAGTTCTTTTTTTCAAAGGTATCTGTGTGTAACTCCCAGCACATACTCAGGTGAGTTGTTAAAATACAGCCTCTAAGGATTTTAGTGTCTACTACAACTGTAGTCCCTTTTGAGTCCATCTTGTGAATCCTCAGGGGCCCATTCACCTAGACTAACAGCATATAAGTGACATAGAGGAGATGCCCTTGAAGCACCCGGACCAGACAGCTTCATTAAATCCCTGCTGACCAAGAAAGTCCAGTAAGTGCCATATAGCAGAACCTGCAGCAACATCTTACCATCCTCTGCAGCCCGTATAGTTTGGATTCATACATTTGGAGTGACCACAGCTTCTTCAGCAGAAGCTCTGTCTGCTTACAGTAGGTTTCCTTCACAGTTCCTTTGGCTTCAGATGATGGCATATTCCTTTTCACTAACTCGAGTAAACTTCTCTTGGTAATGAGAGGCCAAGATCTCATGGTTCAGACATTCAAACTGTGACTTTAAGACTGAAGAGTCAATGAACTTCAACAACCAGGACAAAACTGGGAGAGCTACCTAATGCCCATCTGCAACAGCATTCATCAAAAAGCAGATTCATTGTTTCCTTGTTCTCTTTCAAATGCTTTGGAGATTTCAGAACATCCTTCTTCCATAGAAAATCCTTCTGTTTCGCGAGGAAAGACTATTGGCTAAATGCAGAGTTATAACATGTGAAGTCAGAAATCTGAGGAATACAGCTACTTTTCTTTTGCTTGGCTCCATTATTTTCGGTAGTGAAACTTTTCTGTAATGGCAGAATACTAAAAAGACTGTTTGCAAGTGCTACTTTTGCTTTCTTACATGTCCGCTTTGTACTAATTCTGTTTTATATTAGTATTTTCCCCATTAATTTAAGTTCATTTTTATTTCTTCATCTAGAAGAAGGGCCAGGATGGTGCCTGATACTTGAAAATTTTCTTTTTAACTCTTTTCCTTTCTTGCTGTCTCTTTCCACTAGCCTAATGGTATCTAAATGCTTTTCTCCAGAGTAATACAAGAATGAACACTTTGGGTTGTGACCAGGTGCAAAGGCAGGTCCACTATCATATTCGGTTCAGTCACTGAAGTGCAACACAGAGATTTCACAGAATCACACAGAATCACAGAATGTTAGGGATTGGAAGGGACCTCAAAGGATCATCTAGTCCAATCCCCCTGCCGAAGCAGGACCATATTTTGCCATATTTGAAAGTGGTCTGCTAGGAACTATGTGTGAAGGAATGGATTTGGAGCCTCTGAGTTACAAGATCTAGTAGCAAAAGATCTAGTTTTGCCCAGAGTACAAGTTAAAGGAAAGAAAACATCAGTAATGAGGATTATTGATATAACTATTGCAAAGATGAAAGTAATATGTAGGAACAGATGTTCTGGTCTCCCTGAATCCAGAAAATAGGTAACATGAAGTGCGAAGCTAAGGCTTTGCATGAAGAGTGAGGCCATTTTTGTTTTAGCTGCATCAGGCATCCTGTCTAGATGGCTCTCGCTGGTGGTGCCTGTGCTGCAGGTCAGGTGCACCCCATACTGATCTCCCAGTCATCTCACTGGAGGACTGCAGCCCTGCCTCACTTCTCGTGTGCCTGGCTTGCTCTCTAGCATAAAGCAAATTGCACAGGGGACAGTATGCATTTAGTCTCTTTCCAATATGAAGCCAAGGCAAGCCCAGGAGCTGGGAAGCACTCCTGAGCCCTGCAGTCTAGGTGTATTCATCTGGATCATCTTCAGCATGTAAAACGTCTGTGCTGTGGAGTATGTTGTATGTTTAAAGGAGCTCTCAGGCTCCTGGTCTACTAGGAACTTGGGCAAGAACTAACAAATGCACCATTAAAAGGTGGGGAAAAAAGGGGAAAGGGACCTGGGGGTCCTGGTGGACAGCAGAATGACCATGAGCCAGCAATGTGCCCTTGTGGCCAAGAAGGCCAATGGCATCCTGGGGTGTATTAGAAGGGGTGTAGTTAGTAGGTCGAGAGAGGTTCTCCTGCCACTCTACTCTGCCCTGGTGAGGCCGCATCTGGAATATTGTGTCCAGTTCTGGGCCCCTCAGTTCAAGAAGGACAAGGAACTGCTTGAGAGAGTCCAGCGCAGGGCCACAAAGATGATTAAGGGAGTGGAGCATCTCCCTTATGAGGAAAGGCTGAGGGAGCTGGGTCTCTTTAGCTTGGAGAAGAGGAGACTGAGGGGGGACCTCACTAATGTTTATAAATATGTAAAGGGTGACTGCTATGAGGATGGAGCCAGGCTCTTCTCAGTGGCATCCAATGATAGGACAAGGGGAAATAGATATAAGCTGGAACATAGGAGGTTCTGCTTAAACATGAGGAAGAAGTTCTTCCCAGTAAGGGTAACAGAACACTGGAACAGGCTGCCCAGAGAGGTTGTGGAGTCTCCTTCTCTGGAGATGTTCAAAACCCTCCTGGACGCGTTCTTGTGTGATCTGATCTAGGTGGTCCTGCTCCGGCAGGGGGATTGGACTAGATGATCCTTTGAGGTCCCTTCCAATCCCTATCATTCTGTGATTAGTTTCATAAAGTTTTGATAAGAGGGAAAGGCGCAGTCAGGCTATGCACACCTAAAAGCTTTTAAGTTTTCTCTTTTAGAGCTGGCTATTTGATAAGTTAAAGAAACAAGCATGAAACATGAGTGTGGCCGGTCTCAGTTATATTCTTTTTTGGTTTTTATAGAGTGCAAATGCCCCTGAAAATTGTGCCCAGAAGTTTCTTCCTGAAATTGGTTGACTGTCTTTAGAAACAGAATTTTATGGTCTGTTTTTTCAGGAACACAAAGCCGACTGCTTTGCACAATACATGAATGGGACATATGCAATGTTATGGACAAAAGTCTGGTCAAATCACAGATTCAAGAGAATCTGGTGAGCTTGCTGGCACTCTGTTGTTGTGCCCACATTAGTATCTAGGACTTAAAATCGAATGCAGCCTCTTTCTAGGTGGTTGCAATTTTAAAGATAGTGCCTACCTACTGAGATTACAGCCTTCAAAGAATTACCTGGGGAACAGCTAATCTGTGTATCCAGTCTAAAGTAGCTCTACATCTGCCTCAGAAAAGGAAGTATACGGTAGGAATGATAAAGTGGTGGAAATAAAAAGGCACTCGGCTAGCTGAGCAACAATGCTGGCTGTTGTAACAAGGATCTCCCTCCCTTTGACAAAGAATCACTTCTTTCCTCTCTCATCTGAAAATTTTCAACAGAAATGATAATTTTTTTGTTGTTTTAACACTTACTTTTGCAAACTTCCTGGATTTTTTCAAAACTCTTCAACTTTTAGGGCATGGAAGATCATCTGTTATCAAAGATATTTCAAAGAAAACTGTGTCCTTCAGCTGTAAGGAAGAGGAGAATGGCAATCTCTGTGCTTTCAGGTGCCATAAATTACGACTTGACAGACTGTACATCCCAGCTGACCTCAGAGCTGGATCAGTGCCCAGAGAGCGAGGCAGTCTGCAAAATATGTAGCACCCACTCATGAAATGCGTTGTAAAGCTGAACTAATATTTTGAACTATCTCCAGGCAGACGCTGGAAACCATGGATGATCTGACATGAGAAGCTCCTTGTGTTTCTTTTTACAATTTGGGGGAATTTTTAACAACTGATTCACAACAACGAATACAATACCTGTACTGATTTGCAAATTACCAAAAATTACATCAATTAATTGAGATTTCCAATGTGTTCTTGTTTCAATATTTAGACAGATGTGTCGAAGCAGAAGCAAAGTGGCTCTCTTTTGCACTAAAGAAGGTAAGAGAGAAGTGCATGTGAAACAAAGATGTTTTTCAAGATGTGCTAAATTACTTTAACATATGCAGATGTTTAGTGCAGATTCTTTCTGAAATTTGACTAGACTTCTTCAACATCCAGTTTTGCACTGTGTTTTTTTTTCCCTACTCTATATAGTTTCATCAGCTTTTCTTATTTTTTTGACTATGAGGCTGTGTATTGCAGTACCCCAGTCCTGCTCCCACAAAATTAATTTTGTCTACAGAATCAAAACTATAATTTGATAAAACTTCCTGCTGAAAATATCTTTTACCACCAGAGTGGTTAGCAGCCTATCCTCCTGGGAGCTGATGTCATCTGTCTAGCTGTGAAGCTCAAGAGGACAGAAGAACCTGAAGTGGAAAGCTGCAGACCGAGTCTGTGGGCATAGCAGATGATTGTGCAAGTTTAAGTGGTTTGAAAATGCAGACGTTCTTCATCTGCAGTGAAATCATGTTCTACAGACAGACAGACCTTTGCTGAAAAAGACTTAAATTATGAATGAGCTTGACAAAGGAAAAATTAATCACAAAGAATGACCTAAATTTGGGAAACTAATCAAAACATTTACTACTTTTCTCAAAAAAAAAAAAAAAGCAGCTCATAGGAGCCTGTCAAAGATGTTTGCTTCTGACATATGTTGCTTTAAGTACACTTAAAACCCCTTGCCCTCTGAAGTTGAGTAAACACAGTAAGAATTATAAGTTACCAGTAACCATTGCTCAAATTTATTTCTCCACTGCTAAATTCCCATGGTACATGCAATGGCAGCATGTCCTCCCTTGGGAGGCTGACTGCTGAAAGTGGTGGTGTTCTTTTGTTCTTTAAATCAGACTGAGTATAAACAAGATAAATAATAAGTCTACCATCTTAAAAAGCTGGAATATAAAGTGAAACGGAAGTGAAGGGCCAACTATTTCGGAAAAGTAACTGGCAAATGGGAACCTGGTATAATTTCCAGTGGAAGTGACTTGTAAAGCAGAATGGACAGAGTAGTGGAGAGTCCTCAAATCTTCAAATATTCTCCCAAATATTAGTAATTTCCACAGGCAAAGCAAGCTTGGTCCTGTGTAGCTGAGTAAACAGTGTGACATTCACCTCACACCTGGCTTAAGAAAAGCCTTATTATTGCTGAGCAGATTTTCCAGAAGTAGTTCTTATGGATAGTACAAAGTAGCCCAAACACCTTGCTAGCTGACAGAAAGTCAAGGGCATAAACCCAGGAAACCTTTCTAAGGGCAGCCTGGTAACTCCAGAGAGAAGGCAAGTCCGGATCCCAAACTTAGCTTGGTTAATATTTCAGGCTAAACTGCTCAAAATTAATATCAGGAGAGAAAATCCTTTGATATAAAAGAAGGATGAAAGTGTCTTGCTGTGTTTGATGTTACTGTGTGGTTGTTGATGACTTCATTTACTGTATTGTTCGGTGTAATTTCGTGACTGATAATATCACTCTGCGCTCAGTTTTCTTGCAGCAGATCTTGTATATTCTGCCTTTGAGGTAATGGTGAACTCCCTTCTGCTCTCCTCCTCACCAGACTGTGGCCGTCGCCCAGCTGCTCGCATGACCAAGAGGATCCTTGGCGGTAGGACCAGTCGCCCGGGCCGATGGCCGTGGCAGTGCTCCCTGCAGAGCGAACCCAGCGGACACATATGTGGCTGTGTTTTGATCGCAAAGAGATGGGTCTTGACCGTAGCTCACTGCTTCGAAGGGTGAGAGGGCTCAGACAGTTTTACTGCTCATGTAAACTTGCACACGTGATTACTGATCCTCCCTCCTCCGCCAAACACACTGCGGGTAGGGGATGACCTTTGCAGAATGGCACATCACAGAGGCCTGGCTTTAAGGGACTAAAAAAGAAAGTAAATGGTTTGAAACGGCATCAGCTTAGGTTTTCACATGCTTTATTATTAATTGCTAGTGTCTCTACTGATGAAAGATAAATAAACTTTCAGCAGAAAACAGGGAAAGGATGAAGACCAAAACACTAACCCTTTAGCTCTCATACAACTGCCATAGATTAAGAAAATCATTCCGGTCACCAGTGTAGAAATGACCTTAGAAAAATGCTGTGGCCATTAGTAAAAATAAAAACAGAGTACTTAATCCCAGTGCAGCTGACATATTGAAGTCACTGCTTTTCAGATGAGGCTTTGAGCAACCTGATCTAATGGAAAGTGTCCCTGCCCATGGCAGAGGGGTTGGAACTAGATGATCTTTAAGGTCCCTTCCAATCCAAACCACAGTATGATTTTTCCAAGTGTAAACACTCCACTCCTTTATTAGGATTGCAATCATTAAAAAGTCAGTGTTAACCACTACTTACTGTCTCCTATCTGAGGCCCAGAGGTGGATGGACAGTCTGGAGTGCAGAGGAAGTTTACATGTCTTTGGAATTGTCTTGGTTACTGTCAGCTATTTCGTGCTAAGTAACATTCTTTTTAATGAGTGTCCCTTTTGGAGGGAAGTTTTTAACCTCATTTCTTTTGTCTTGTACTGAGGTTTTTAAATTTGGTTTCTAAAGATTGTTGAAATGCCTGTTTTATGCTGTAGTTACCAAGTACTTTTCTGCTACGCAGTTGTCATCAGTGCTTAATCCTGCTTTAAACTGGTACTTGCTCATTGGAAATTATTTCAGACCACACTTAAAACCTTTTTTCCTGTTCAAGCCAGTAGAAATTCTGTTGTAAGCAACTGTCTCTCAACAGATTTTTCTTTACAACATTAATCATTCTCTTTTTCAATAATAATTTCAACTTTGTCTTTTTATTTCTGAAACACTGAGTTCTTTGGTATTTGTTAGGTATTTTCCTTTTTTTTTTTTTTTTTTTTCCCCTGGCTCTTGATGGAACTTGTGGGAGAGGCAAAGTTTGTGGCTTCTGTGTCTAAGCCAGAAGACATCAGGCAGGTGATAGTGTGAGTATCTCAAGGTGTGAGGCTATTAATAGAAACGCTAGAGGAAATAACATTGGAGAGCCCTCAGTTCTGACCTTCCCATCACATCAGGCCCTAAAATGTTCAAGAATTGATTCCGTTCAGAGAGAAGAAAAGTAATAAGCAGAAGCTTAAGAGAGTAACATAAATAACCTTCCTTCCAAACTAACAGAGCACTAAAGCTGAATAATACAAACAAGAATATTGTATTTATCAGATTTTGGGTCCTGCACAAGGAATTTCTCTTCTTTCCACATCTATTTTTAAATAAAGCTAAGCAGTATCTGGAGTATTTCTTTACCTTTGGAAGAACTTTTTCTGGTGATCTAAAATAAAGAGTGGGATTTAGATGTAGATCCTTCAGCAATATTGGAATGCTACTGAATTTCACAGGTAAGAGATTTCTCTTATTAGTGAAAGATAAGCAAAGAAGCTGTCAAATTTATAAAGTAAAAGTTTTCCCATGTTTGTTAAATGCAGAAAGGCTGCCACTGCGTTTTGGAGCTGTTCATTTACTCCTCATTTAGGGCTATATTTTAGATCTATGTGAACTCAGAGTATTACGTGTAAAAGGTTTCTTTCACATTTGTGTTCTAAATGCTTTAAAGTACTAAGGTATTTTGGTTTAATAATTCATTGAGAAGTTATAGGAAATTCTTTCTGTTCTGCCTCTCTGAATATGTTTGAGGGTATGTTCCCAGTGGCCTGAAATCTTTAAATTCTTCGTTCCTACAGCTTGATACAGCAACAGCAAGATCATGCCTGATGCCAGGAGGCTTCCTTGATACAAAGTATTTAAAAATTTACCAAACCCACTAGATATAAGCCAACAATTCAAATAGATTTTGAAGTGCTCTGGTGCTTTAGACAAAATGCTCGATTTTATGAAGTTCGTGTGAAGTTTGGGATACATGAGGCCCATATAACAAGGATGCAGCAGAAAGTATTCGTGCAAATAGCTGTGAATACTCGTAGAGGGCATAAATGGAAAGAACTACATTAAACATCGTGTCCTTTGCTAGTTTTGTTAGTATAGTCCTCAGGGTTTCATCAAGATTGTTTTGAAATGCGTTACACCAAAGCAGCCAAGACATCAAGGCTTTCTTCTTGACTGTAGTAGGACAATACATTCTGGCTGCTCCGAGCAATGCTTTTTCACAATGTTCATAAACACAACAGCGTATGAATATTCTTAGCACCTAATCTTGTAACTTTATGGAAAAACTCGCAAACTGATCATGATGGTAAAGGGATCATTATAGTCTGAAATACCAGAATTTTCATGCAACTCTTAAGATAAAAATAGCCTTTATTTAGCAACCAAATCTCTTTTCAAGTTATATAAATTACAATCCTGTTGAATACTGTGAAAAAAGCTGAAATTTTGCATGCTTTGGTTTACACTGCTTTGATTAAGCTTCAATCTTGTCAAAGGTGCTTAGTTACATGGAACTGTCTTTAATCAGTTGTGAAAAATACTGACTTTTTTTGAGGGTTTTTATAATCACAGACTAATTAGGAACCCGTGACTTATCCTGTGACCAGTTACGGTCAAAAGATTACACCCTCAAAGCCTTTCATAAAGTGTTTTCCTCATCTGTCTCAATGGACTCTAGTTCAGTCTTGCCACTTGTGTCATGTACATCATTTTTTTGTGATCTTGTATATTTACCCATAGAGTCTTCAACAATTGTAAGAAGAGGAAGGCAGAGGAAGTATGCTTGGCGCAGACTGCCCAATAAATAAGGGACTTTTCCCATGGCTATCATAAAAGATTAAATTTTCATAACAGAATTGCTTATTTGAGAGTCCTTTGGGATTTCAGCTAGACTTATGCTGTCAGCAGCATACTACTGAACAATATTGTCACCCCAGAGGAATTTTTTCAGGCCCACCAGTGAGCATGTGAGCACCTAAGACTTGGGCAGGATCCAAGGGATGATTTTGAGAGCCTTTGGCATTTAATACAGCAACTAAGTGTGAGTTGTAATTCATTTGGTAACAGGCAGGAAGGAAATGGAAAGAAGCATCTTTTGTAGCTCAGATCTTAGCTGTACGTAATGATCCCTTAGTATTTGTTTTTTCTTGTAGTATTTGTATGGGCAATGCTTTGCAAAGTGCAGTGTGCGAAAAGCCAGGGAGAAAACAATTTCGGGTATTTTAGCGTAAAATAATGCTTTTGATTGAAATTACCCATTTTTTTTTTTTTTACGAAGGAGAGAAAATGCAGCTGTTTGGAAAGTAGTGTTTGGGATTAGCAATCTTGATCATCCATCAGGCTTCATGCAGACCCGACTGGTGAAGACCATTATCCTCCATCCACGCTACAACAGAGCAGTGGTAGACTATGATATCAGCATTGTGGAACTAGATGAGGAGATCAATGAGACGAGCTACGTAAGACCTGTCTGTTTGCCCAGCAAGGACCAGCTGGTTCGGCCGGATACCTACTGCTACATCACAGGCTGGGGACACATGGGCAACAAAAGTAAGCTGAGTATTTCTGGGACTTCTGGAAAAACATGCTAACCTTCTACTGAGTTGATCAAATAAGTGATTCTATTACAAAGCGTGATCCATTTATACTATTACTATATTACTAGACCTATTAAATACTAGGGAACTGTAACTACTCTATTCTAGCTGTGACTAGAGCCTAGCTTTTTCAAATCAGCAGCCTGAATTTATACTCCTTCATCCTTATTTAGACAAGTGGCTTGATTTGCAAAAATGCTGAGGATCTAGAAACTCCTCTATCAAGAAAGTCACCTGAACTGGTTATCATTTTACGGCTTTAGGTTATATTCAGAACTGTATCAGATCACCAGTGGTGGTGGGGGACAGCAATGTTCTTAGTTCAGTGGAAGCAGAAGGCACTGGAAGCACTGGCACACAGACTGAACCAACATTTTCTTGAATGAATGCTCCTTGTCGCACTTCAAACTTGTGACACTATTTATTCCATCCATAATCACAAGTGTTGGTCTTGTCTCTCTGCAGAATGTTAGTGTGTTTTCTTGTTCTGTGGCCACCGCAATCCTTGGGTCCCATGACAAAACCAGCTGTGTTACGTAAATCTTTGTTTAGACAAAACGATTCTGCATGCATCATATGCAAATTATCCTGCCCTTAGCCCTGTTAATGTCCTAGCTGTTGTGTTTCTCCCTTCGCTGTTACAGTAATTACTAGGGAAGGTAGCTGTTCTGTACACGGCAGAAGGAAATTTTCCTTTCAGTATTGCTTCAGGTGGGACTTCACCTCCAGTGGCCAGGTCAGACACGTGGCAAAAATTAAATCACACATGTGAGAGCTGCTAGGAAACAGCCTGTCCCTATGCATCTAAAAATATATTTTATGTAATGGCAGGAAAAAAACTCCATAGAATGCTTTTGCACCACTGGTAAGTGGAAGAAGGTTCTTTGTCCTCTAATGTAGTTTCAGCGTTGATTTTAAAGATTTATGTTATGAAGCATCAAAAACCATCACAGCTACACAGCATTTAGTACTACATGCCTTAGGTTGAACAACTTTCCTTAGAATTTGAGCTCAGTCAGCTGTTTAGATTAGGAAGAAGTCCTTTATTGCCTCCTGAACGCACTAAAATAATTTCAATAACCTTTGAATTCCCATTCCCCAACAGACTCTCTAAGTCAAATTTACCCAACCGTGACTCAACATGGCTGTGATTACACCAAGCTTTACTATGAGAGACACCGAGAAACAGGGAGATCCTGCCATGGAACAATGAGTCAAACCTCCCTCGCATTGCTGTTTCCCTGCCAATACTGCCTACTGCCCCATGTTAGAAGTCCTGTACCACCATAACATATGAAGGTGCTCTCCCTCCTCAGGCTGTCAGCATGAATACATGACAAATGGCACGTGTCACGCTGGTCCCCATGTGCTTAGTCCTTCTCCAGAATGCTGCATGTACGCTCCTGGCTCAGGAGAAATCACAAATCCTGCGATGCAGCAGTGCAAAAAAATACCTGTTTTCACCTTAGCTTTGAGCAAAAGGAGGATTCTTCTCTCCTTGCATTTAAAACGCATATATATAAAATAATATTTATAACCTATCCTAATGGAAATATTTATCATATCTCAAAGAGCCATGACAGCTAGGTGTTTGTGTGTGTCTAGTTTAACGCTCCTGTCTTTCAGTGCCTTTCAAGCTTCAAGAAGGAGAGGTCCGCATCATTTCCTTAGAGCAATGCCAGTCATACTTCGACATGAAAACCATCACCAGCAGGATGCTGTGTGCTGGCTACGAGTCTGGCACCGTGGACTCTTGCATGGTAGGCTCCTCTCTAAGGAGAACTCACAGCGAGACTTGCTTTTAGAAATCAAAGCACTCTGATGTTTATTAGGTATAGCATACTTCATCTGCTACAGGAATGACAACAGTTATTTACACGCCTTAACCCAACTTTAATTATTATTATTGCCGTCATCAACTTCAGTTTATGATAAGGAAATGCTGCTTCAAGACGCTTAAGACTCTTGAAGACTCTGATCTGTGATAGTTAACTATTAGACTGTTGGTTTGGTTTTTTTTCATTTGTATGAGCCTTTTGCAGGTAATTTTTCGTACAAATGTAACAGGAAATAAATGCTGGAACGCTGCGTGCTGCTGCATAGTTCAGCAGAGCAGCCAGTTTTTACAGTCGAGTTACTAAAGGCAAATTGCTGTAGGAACTGAGATGTAGCTTTAACTACAGGACTGCTGGCCACGTGCAGCCCCTATAGACTGTTTTTGTCTTTCATGTTGCAGGGTGATAGCGGAGGACCGCTTGTGTGTGAGCAACCTGCGGGGCGCTGGACTTTGTTTGGTTTAACATCCTGGGGCTCTGTCTGCTTTTCCAAGGTTTTGGGACCTGGAGTTTACAGTAATGTGTCACATTTTATTGAGTGGATTGAAAGACAAATATACATCCACACCTTTCTGCTAAACTAACTCCAGATGGTAAGAATTGTGCTGACAGACAAAAGAAAAAAGGAATCAGCACTTCAACACTGAAGATTTTGCAGTCCAGAAACTCTTTGAAAAGGACTTTCAAGCTCTATCTATTCTTGTTGTGGAGCTATGGAATATGCAGTGTATGTTAACAGTAAACCCTCTGCTGGTGAATATACTTCGGGGTAGAATTAATAATCCTTTTGACTTTTCTTTTAGCTGTGTTGTGGTGCTATTCCAAACACAGCAAAAGGCTTAAAAGAAAAGAATGAGCCACCTTCTGCCTTTCAGCTATTCAAACTAAGCAGTAGCACAGACTAGAAAAACCTTTATAGATAACCTATTTTAATACTATTCGATTAGTAGCACACGCATTTTTCACTCACTTGTTGCCATCAGGAATGAAGTCAGTGCGTTCACACAGCATTGACAGGACATATATTCACAAGGGCAACACCAGGCATGGCCGTGCCATGTGCTGGAGGGTGTGGGAGAGATCAATGAGTTTGTATGTCTGTGCGACACAGGGCACATCAAAGTACGCGTGCAGGTTTCCCAGGGTGCGGAGCCATGTGCTCCTGGTGTGCCTGAGTAACGCATCCTGTCCCTTGGGGTGGCCGACTTTCATGGGCATAACTCTGTACCATCCTGACCCCACAGCTTCTGTTCCCAGAGCCAGCCTGGGTATCTCCGCAGGGTGGTAGAGGGACCAGTAGGCAAACAGACCCGTAACTACCACTGGAGGCACCTGAGACCAAAGCTTAGTGGTTTAGACTCCTTGGACAGTATCTACCACTTGACTTTCTGAAGCTTCCAATCTTTTAATGTGTCCAAGAAACACAAATGTCTTGAGAAGACTACACTGATTAGCACATTTATCAAACCTGTGCCCCACGGGCTACTCTCCCCATTTAGTATAGTGTGCATTGAACATTTGCAGCCCTCTAAAAACAACAGGGTTGGCAGTGCCACTGCAATGGTTTCCCCCTGGAGTCAGCTACTTTCAACATCTGGTGAGATATGGAAAATGCAGATTCAAAGTGCAAAAGATGCAGCATGAGCAGTATCCCAAACACTGGGAAATGGTATTTTTGGATAGGTCTCCTCTAATATCTTGCATTGAAAGCTTCATTTTGCTTAGCAAGATTAAACAACTGGGAGAGAGAAAAAGGCAGAAAGCAATCTGAATGACAGAAGACTTGGATTCCAGCTTCTGTTCGAATGGATATTAGAAATACGTTAAGCAAAGTAGCGCAGCGTCACCAGCAAAGGCTCACAGAGCCCTCTCAAGGGCTCAGCAGCCCAGAGAGCAGCAGGTGAGAGGCTGAGCCTTGACTCCCAAGAGAGCCTGGCTGAAAAAAATCATAATGGAGCTTGACACCTCTTTATGGTGCTAGAGGGGAGCTGTGTCTTACCGACTGCCATGCGCAGCTCGCAGCTGTCGGGAGGCCGGGCGAGGAGGAGTCAGCAACCTGAGGGTTACGGGATGAATTTCAGCAGGGAGCAGCGTGTTTAAAAATGTGCGTGTTCACAGTGCTGTGCCTGGTCCCCTGTGGATGCAGCCCAAGGCCTGCGGTTACCCTCTCTGCTACCTTTGGCATGCCCCCACGGCAGCATGGCAGGGCGCTGTCAATACCTCCACTGGAAACACGCATGGAAAGACCAAACTAATGGGTGTTTCAGGTACTATTAAGCATGTTAACACAGACCTGACTATTGCTTTAGTGAAGGTTTACCTCTTATTTCCGTATCTTCTTTAACATGGCTCACGTTAGACATACTAGACACACTCTTGACAGCATTATCAATAAAAATTCAATATTTATGTTATGGATTCTGGAACTCTATTTAAGTGACTATTGTATCACTGTTTCATGCTCAGAAAGAAAACCCTTCTAGGCTTTGCTAGGTTTGTTTGGGGTTTTTTTTATATATATTAGAGATCTTGTTTTTACTATAACATACAAATGCTCTTCTTCCCCCAGCTATAAATGAAAGAAAGCAGCTGTGGCCCTGTTTTTCCAGTGCAAGCAGATTACAGATGAAGCAGGTTACTGACGCCCTTGCCTCAAGGATATGGAAGCTGGAGCACTCAGCCTCCCACTTCAGCTTTCCTCTGGGGCCAGGATCTCTGCAGCTGTAGGGCAGCGCAGTTCAAAGAAGTCCCGGCGCTGGTTACTGAGCGTTCCTGGAGCAGGCGGCTCAGGGGCTGTCGGAGCCAGCCTGCCCCATCGGCCGTCTGATGAGTTTGGGGACAGGCAGGTTTCAGTGAGGTCCGTATTCCAGAAGTAAAAACAAAGAGGTGCCATTGTGAAATGACGCCTCTCCACCAGACCAACTGGGTAGCAGCTTTGAATTTTGTAAAGCGCTGGAGTACATAGAATAATTTCATGTAGATATTAGCACTACCAAATGATAATATGTAATTACACGTTTTAATTAACTGGTTTTGGCCCGCTACCAGTTTCCAAGCAGTTCCTCCCAGGAAATGAAGGAGTCTCCTGCTTAAACATATGGTCGAGGCCCCTCCTGTATGGGATCAGCCTGAAGAAATTACAGGCACAGCCCCATCTCAATGGCTTTAGGAGGAAGCAGGTGTGTCTTTTCCTTCCCCCAACTGTGTCTGACACAACATTCCATATAAAGAGGAAATTTGTAATTTTATAAATGTATTTTTATACTGCTTTTTTCTATGTGTGCACATGAAATAGGCAAACATACTCTTCCTTCCACTGTATCAAGCCTTTCCCTGTGTGCTGACGTAACAGCTATGATCACAATTACGCTGTTTCTCTTACAAGTGTAGCCTCACTGTAAGGTAACAACTGTTGGTTTTGTTTCTACCATGGCTGTGGCTCCAAATGGAAGCGATGTCACACAGTCAAGCAGATGTGTTTCTTTCTAGCTGTACTAATAAAAATATACAATCGTTTTCCAAGTAACTTCTCTGTTGAAAATGAGTTTTAATCTTTAGAGATACTCAACGACAAGATGGAGGTGTGAAGTTGTAACTTCAGCAATAATGCCTAAAAATAGCCTTAAAAAGGTATTTGCATGCCCTTATCTAGCTCCTTTAAACAGCCCTGTTAGCACTACACCACTTGCGGAGTTTCTGGCACTACCACCACCGTACAACTTTTAGTTTCTTCTGCACGTATGCTTCCAATACAGAGTATTACCAAGAATACCACTGCCAATAATTACTCTGGATTGAAAAATCTGAAAAGCTAAAGCTGCACTCAAATTTCTCTGAAACGTTTTGTTCTCTGGCTTTCCTCAGAAATACAATTAGTTTGAAACAACCTTCTCCTTTTAATTGGTACACAGTGTTTCAACAACATGTACACATGCTGAAATCAAAATATTAAGTGTGCAGAAACTTCAAATAGTTAAAATTTGCCTTTCTCCTGCAGTCAACAGTAAGGTATCATCTTGCCATGAGGGCAAGAGGAACATAACCAGAATAAACCAGGAACAAATAACACAAAAACTATATTGAAATTCAGCTACGAGAACGTCCTTAACTTCAGAACTTGCCCATTAGCCTCTGCAGAGAGCACGGGCTGGTCTGACCAGCAGCCGGTCAGGGCTGCCAGGAGCAGTGGGTGCTCTGCGTTAGCTGGTCCTTGGCTTTGCACTGCAGCCAGCAGGGCCAAGGGAAAAACCACGGCTTGGGTTCAACCTTCAGCTCAAACTGCGCCCCAGGTACAGACCAAGGCTGACTGTGCTGCGAAAACACTCACTCAGTAAAGGCTGTGGCTGGCTGCCACCTGCAAATGCTTAGCACAGGTGCAGCTGGTGTGAAAAAAGTAATTTTAAAAAAGCATATTTGTATCTGTAAATCGAATATCGCACATCAAAAAGTGAGTTAAATCTGCTCTAGGTGTAGCTACAAGGTTTGGGGGAGTTGAAGTTTTCAACTCACAATCCGAAGTGCGAATGCTGTGCTTTCCTTCGTGACATCTGGAAGGCACTTGTGAGATGATCTTAAAAAGCTTGTTTTCAAAATGGAAAAGTCAGGTCCTACGTGCAGGAGCGCAGAAGCAAGCAGGGGATCGTGATGTCTCCAGCGCTAACAAAAAATAAAGGAAACATTCAACTGTTTAGAAGCAAACCCTTCGTTTGGCACCATGTTAGATACGGCCAATTAACATTTTGAAGCTTTTATTAAAGACTGACTACCCTCATCTCCCCCTCAGTAAAAAATAGCAAGTGATCACAGCAGACAGCTCTTAGATATTTCTGCTCTTTGTCCACAAAAAAGAACAAAAAGAAAAAAGAGTGGGTTTTATACAATGGATAATTTTATCACTTAGACTGCTCGTCAAAGTCCTCTAAAAGAACACAACCTATGCTGGACAATTTTAAGCAACATGTGTCATCAGTAAAACAACACACCAAGAAAAAGATAAAACGTGAGTGTGTGTGTGTTATTTTGTGCCACTTCAAGTGGTAGAAAAGTACTTACAATCTCAGCACAGGGGAACTTCCAAAAGGACCGAAAGCATCAAGGCAACCCACAGGGCCTACCACTTTTGAGACCAAGATGAAATCGTCCTTCATCCAATTTAAGAATCCATCCTGAAAGCCTCGCCGCACTAAGCGGTGAGCAGCGGGGTGACCCGGCTTGTGAAAAGCCGCACAATAGCAACTGAAGCGTGGCAGAGGCGTCACGCCGCCGGGCCCAGCTCTGCCAGGCCACTGCCACTCACGTTTCTTCGCGTAGTTAATTCGACGTCACAGCTCACGGGCACAGAGGACGCTGGAAGACCTTACTCTGAACGCTCACAGCTTTTCTATGATACGCACACCAAGTCCCAAGACTAAACGATCAGCTGCCTGCCAAAGCTGCTGGTAGGTTCTGCTCCTGCAACAGAGGCAACATGGGAGCAGGTCACAGGCCAGTGTTGTCCCCCAAACTCCTTTTTACAGTGACAGGACGGGCAGAGAGCTGAGCCCTGCACTCCCCTCAGGTTACTGCATGTCCCAGACCTGCTCCATGAGAGCTCAACGTACCTCAGCCACAGAGGCAAAGGCTTGTAGAACCACAGCGCAGAATAATCCGTTCTCTGTGGCCACAAATGAGGAGAGGCCATAGATGCAGAAGAAACATCAAGGTGAGACTACAGAAACAAAACCAATATTTGACTTTGAAGGCTGAAAACCACTAAAGCAATGGCATGGGCTGCTTCTGTGAAGATCATTACAACAGGAGAACATCTGCTAGGAATGATAAGGGTAGAGCTGAGCCTGCCTTGGGGCTGTGGAGCAGAGCAGATGACTTCTTTTGAGTCCCAGTAAGTCTGTTCCTGTACGATCCCACCCTTGTACCAGCTCATCTCTCCACACAACCTGCTGGCCGTTTTTAGGCACCTCACAGTTCCCATGTCTGCTAGACAAAGCCGAGATGTTTCTCTCAGGGCACCTGGAGCCCAATCCTGGCAAGTTGCCCTGCACAGCAAGAAGGATACTACGAAGATCTGAAAATCATAACTGCAAACCAACATGCTCGACATGATCTCTTAGAATTTAAATGTCTGCCATCACTTCAAAGGTCCCCATAAACCTTATGTTAGAACTTACCAAAAATATTTCATCATCTGTTGAACTAAATTTAAAAAAAATATTTGCAGAAACAGCTGTCATCACTGGCTCCTTCCACTGTTTTTCCTTCTACAGGCTAAACAAAAAGGAAATTTTTCTCCTCACTAACACTAGGGATGGAGTCAGCACTAATTACATTCTACCTTTCGAAAACAGAACCGCTTTAAACTTTTGGTGACATGTGGTGGCCTGCGTTTGAATGAACTTAGCATGCCCTCAGTGTCTGCCCTGCATAGCAGCAGCTGTCTCAGACCTCACAGCGTTTGTTTAAATTCCTCAGAGCTCTCCAAAGATGTGGAACATGTAATGTTGATCATAGACATGGAAAGCTCATGGTTCAATTAAAAAGCAGAGCCCTTGCCCCAAACATGGTGCCTAAAAATAAACACACAATTCTTGGCAATTTGAAAGCAGAAAGTTTTAGAAAGAAACAGAACCAAAAAATGGGCTCAATACTAATAATTCATTAGCAGCTACAGTTTGAGGAAACTGTTTATTTCAACAGGTGCTAGTGGATACAAACAATTTCCTACGTTCTTCCATAAATTTCCCACGTAATTTTTTGGAGAGGGAAGTAAAACATAGGCAATGTTTTAGACAGTCTGTAATCCAGAAGTAGTCAGGACATCTCAAAGATAGATGAGCAACAAAGCCCAATTTTGGGACCTACAAAGGTTTATATGTTCTTTTGAGCAGCCTTCGCTGATACTGAAGCTGTTTATTATAAAAGTCTGGAGGAATGTAAAAACACCTGAGAGTGAAGAAGAGTAACGTCATGAGCTAGATGCTGCTATTTCTAAGAGATGACCTGAAGACAGACTGGAGCTACCCACTGCCACTGGCAGACAATTCTGCAGGGCAGGCATGAGGCAGAGTTTAAAGAAAAGTCAGGCAGCCAACATATGAGTTGGGTGACAAGGAACAGAAGTCCACTCGTTCACCAGTGACATGAAATGGCACAAGGAGACAAAAAGGATGGATGTAGCAGGAGGATGAACTATCATGGAGAACAAGAGGCTGCACTAGGATTTGCTCTTTCTGTGGAAAAGGAAGGTGAGGGAGATACGTGACATGTCTCATCTGGTCAGCTCTTCTGATGGTTGAAGTTGTGTTTGGCCAGCACTGAGCTGGCCTGTGCGATAGGCTGGTGAACAAACTGCACCACAGCGGTTAAAGTAATTACTGTACACTCATACCGCAGGAGTCTTGCAACGAGCCAACCAGTAACACTACATCCCAGCCCTTCTGCTTACTTCACACTTCAGCAAGTGGTGAATCCCAGGGAACGCCTGGATTTTAGGATAACAGTGCGAGGGAGCAGGTTGGCTTACCTGAACTGGATCCTGCAAACCTGTATTCATGCAATGTCCAGTCCATAACACCACGAGGTATTATGCAATGTTGCATACAAGAAACCAGCAGTATACAAAGTCTACCATGTGAAAAAAATACTAAAACCCAGCCATTTAGATCTTGAACATCTTAATAAATTACTGAAAAGCTTTATAAAAAAAAAAGCTTTTAAGGAAATGTGTGCATCATCTACCTTGGCTGAAGAAAACAAAACCACAATGTAGCAGAAGTCAGCAGTTATTATTCTCAGGTTTTAGACAGTCAGCATTCCAACTTTGTGAAATACATTACAGCATCTTCTTCGCACAACACAGAATTCAAACCTGCTCTGTGTGCGAGAGAAACAGCACTGCTGCCCTCTTCAGAAGCACACACAGAGACTGGGGCACATGCGTTACTACCGCCCAGTGTATCTGAATTCACTTCCGTTGATGAATTCGGAAATACGGTCTTTTCAGAGTTCAAGTCATTTGTATTCCCAGACTCATCCTGAATGCCTGGTAAGAAGGAGGTGTCCTCTACTAACCCATCTCTTGAACAGGCCTGAAAAGGTGTTTTACATGCTGGCAAAACACTGGCAATGCGTTCTTCCTCTGCTGCAGCACCTGTGGCTGAGCTGGAAGACCCAGACGCAGCCTGGAACTCCACTCTACAGTTTACAACGCAGTCATCTCTCCATCTCTTAATCGCTTCCCTCTGCTTCTCAGGGGTCAGTCTGTCAAGGTGCTTGGCTCTCAACACCGGAGACGGAAACAATGTTCCTTGGAGAACTCTCAGCAAATATCTACAAAATAAACACAGTTTCAGATAAGCTGTTTAGAAGCAGATTCAGAACTGTTTCCAGCAACACTAAAGGAAACCAAACACCATTAAAGTAATCCTCAGGCTGCAGCAGCCTCTGAAACAGTTCTGGCAGGTGAACATAAACTATAAGGCCAGCAACTGCACCCTAACACATTTTAAAACTGGCATTTTCAAAGACAGATACTGATCTCAGGTGCTTCTATTTTTCTGTTCTGAACACTGTTCTCCCAGACTACCTACTGCAGCAATGTGCACTTGCCAACTTTAGTGAAGGGACAGGGTCCCACCTACAGTGACAGTGGAGCTTTCTGCGTAGAGTGTCAGGTCCCAGAAAAAAGGCACCAAAATCAGCGCGCAGTTTAGAGTTTCCTCAGCACTTCAGTGCAGATATAAGGAGTTAATATCTACTGTGGAAAAAATCAGGCCTAGAAAGATTGACACTTCCAACTGAGAAGTTTATCACTGCTGTTTTGCACTGATAACATAGCACTAATATAGCCCTGGAAAACTGGGAAGAGTAGGCAGAGCACCATTCTAAAATTCTTAACTTTTGCAGGAGCCAGAAAATTCACCAGAGGCACGAATGAACGTGAAAGCAAAGGCCAAAGAAACAAAGCATCACATGCAGTAAAAGGGATATGGAGCACAAGTGATGCTCCAGAGTTAAATTCTAGGAATAAATCATATTAGAACTGACTTAATTGGCAACTTAGGTTGGGCAAAGGTTTTAATCACAGATTTTTGAAGTGAATTTCCAGCCAACAGGGCATCCAACATCTGTCCCTCTGTAGGAGAACCGCTCCTTAAAAACTCCAGTGAAAGCCCCAGTCTCACTCCCTCAGGCTAGAAGGTGTAGAGCACCCTTTAGCTTCGCAGTCTCCGCTGAGTGGTGGCTTTTCAGCACCTTACAAATGATTACATCAGAAATATGCAAGGAAAAAACACATATGTATGACAGCAGTGGTTCAGTAATAGGCACTTCTACTTCAAATCACTGAAACAGAAAAGGTTGAATTAGCCACAACAGCTATAAATCTTCTGAGGTGTTGGTGCAGGGAGAGTGCAAATGACTCAAACAATTTCACTGGTAAGTCTAAATACTTTGCATTTAATTCACCATTAAAAACAGTCATCTTCAAAACTTAACCTGAAGCTTTCTCACCAACCTGAAAGCTTTCTCCCACCTGGGCTCTCTACAGCCCTACCAAAAGGTCCTAGAACAGCTTTTATCTATTTATTGGTCGTGTAAGGGAGATTTACTGTGTGTGAAAGAAAAGGCTCTACTGTCACCACCTGAAGCCAAGCTGACAGCAGGGGTGGGGAGGGAAGAGCAAACATGTTTCTTGCACCTCACGGTTCGTGCTGCTGAACTGAAGTGTGAACCGAAGCTGTCAGTCGTGATCTGCGGTGAGTGCAGCGAAAGGCTGGCTGGCAGCCAAGATCAGGACAAGTTCAAAGGGGACTCAAATATTTGGGGGCTATTGCAGGCACCTGCAGCCACAGCTCTGACAGGTTTCCTGCTGGTGGCATTGACAACTCAGGCAGCCTGTACTGCAGCACTAGATCCAGAAAACATGCTCAGACTGTGCCTAACGATATAAAACGATGTCAGGTGAGGAGGAAGCAACAGCTATTCTCCCCAACACTGCTCTCATCATCTGTGCAATTCAGTTTCAAGTCCCACTCCTTCTGAAATGATAAGAGATGGAAAGAAAGAGACATAACACAGAAGAATGAATGAATTAGCACTGGAGGCACTTCGCTCATAGTTTGCAGACTTGAGTTCATGTTCAGCCAGTGGAAGGAAGATGGCTGAGGTTACTAAGTAGAGGTAGACCGACAGTTTGATGAAGTCTCTTTCACCGATTTTCACACTCTTTGTTTTTCTCTGTTGGCTCGCTTGGGTGTCTCCCTGCTCAGCGTGCTGGTGCCTTGCCAGGGTGAATGAGTTCTCGAACTTGGAGTTACAACTTCTTCAGTCAGGCAAAACACTTAAACATCAGGCACAATAAAAACAAAACTCAAGACCCCTTGTCAATCTACTCAGCAAATTTCCACCCCACATTCTTAATTCTAAATTTTCTTATATATATTCATGACCTAAATTTCAAACAGAAAATGGTTTCACAAATAAACACAGACTAAGCACAGTACTTCTATGTATAGTACATGTTCAACTTTGATCACTAATTTAACTGATTTGTATATAAAGTATAAACTCTGTGGTTACAGAGATTATGTTTTTTTTCCCTCCAAAGACAATATTTAATATAATACAAATAGTTTAATATAATATAAATCTCAAAAGAATTTTTTTTCTTACTGAAATTTACTTTAAAAACCCATCACTAATGAGCTGTCCTCATGTGGTTGGTCTGGTAGAGTTATGAAATTTTCTTTACATTGCAGGAGGTGGGGTGGGAAGGAAGACCTCTAACCAGAGAGATTTATAGCATCACTGACTCAAAGAAAACTAATGTTGTTAACAACAGCAATCTGCAATTATAAAACAGAAACGCACCTGGGTAGCAGAGCAACACAAGTAGTCAGGAGGCAAACCAAGTAAAATACAGGGTCTGTCATGTGCTTTTCCATGATCCAAAAAGGATTTGATGATGAGCTGTGGGTTTTGCAGGTTGCCCCAAAAGCCAGAGCAAAGACAAAGTAAAACAGTATGCTGCCAACCATAACTACTGTATGTATCCAAGTCTGCAATTCAGAAAAGGAAAGAAATCAGATTTAAGCTGTAAACAGAAAGACCTGTAACACCTGTATGTCTGTAGACATGCATGTATGAGCATGCACACACTCTTCCTCCAAGGACAGCTGCTTAATGTAACAGAGGATAGAGCTGTTCACATAATATTCCTAATTTTATACAAAACATACCAGGAAGAATGGAATCTTTCTACAGCTCATAGATAAACCAGCATTTTTTTTTTTTTTATTTTACTAAATGCATAGCTTTCGGTTCCTTTGTGAAAGACATTTTTTGTGCCATTTGCCTTAGACGACCACCTCATCCACTGGCAGCAAAGAAAGCCTTCTCGAGCAAGTGGAAGCAAGATCTCCACAATATCACCCTTATATACCTTGCTCGAGACACTGATTAACTGTTCTACATTTGAATTTTTTTACTTTATATCTAAATGGCTATAATAGTTACTATGGAAATAGCAATGCCATTAGTCTGACAGCTTGCCAACATTCAAAAATGCCAAATAAAACCCATTAAAGTAGCATTTCCCTACTCAGAGTGTGGATACACTCATGCTACCCATATCTTCTCAGTAAAGACATTTTTATCACTGCTGCCATGCTCCCAAAAGAACAACGAAAAGACTGAACTTGAAACAACTGAACTTTCACAACTTGAAATTTCATCCATTTTGAAACAATCCTAAAAAATATTTTTGAAAAAAATTAGAGAAAAAAAAAATTAAACCCATTAGTATGAGTCCTTCTACTGTAAATATTATTGTATTTTCTTTAAAATTATGCAAAATAGCCAAGTATTACCCTTGTAAGGACTGTAAATTTGTCCAAGCTAATGCAGATGATCTAGCTTGCGCAGACTTCATTAAAAAGTGGAATAATATTTCTGTAGCATATTGGTCCTCTAGTTCTGGCCCCAAAATATCCTTCTGAATTATTTATCCTGGCCACAGAGCAGATCATCTGTTCCAAGCGCTCAGAATCAGCAGTTCACATTGTCGTCTTTGAGATGTAAGCTTTGGGAACTAATGAAGGCTCAGTAGATCACCGGCTGGTTCTACCATTTGCAAAACTAAACTGACATCTCCAAAACCCCCATACCCTAACAAGGCAGGATCCTTTCACTATTTACAAAAAATTCTGAGGCAAATTTTGTTCATTTTAGTCATACGAGTAATTCTATTGACTCCAATGACAGATGCATTAGGAGAGCTCACATGGTGACATAAATCAAATATTTAGGTTTTGGCCCTTT